AGTTTTCAACAAGTTGGGAACAAGTTTTGTGGACTTTAGAATGTCCAAGTGCAAAATGGACTAGTTTACATTTCTTTTAAACACTTGAAGATCATAATGTTCTTAAAGGTTTCAATGAGCACTTAATAGATTAAGTGGGATGTTTTTGGATGATAAAACATCTCTTAATCATGTGTGAGAACCTATATAAGTGGTACAAAGTGAATTGGAAAAGGCTCTTAAAGAACTATGTGTAGTAGAATGTTAATATGAGAAAAATTGCACTTTTTGGGCATACAGACCCTCCACACGACCCCGTGTGGCCTCAAGGGAAATCCACACAACCCCATGTAGTACATATTGTTTGAGAAATATTGTTTTCCTCATAACTTTTGCATACGGACTTGGATTTACGTGTGTAACATCCCAAGACCAGGTATACCTTATAAGCCCTTGTTATTTTGGTAAATTGTCAAGTTTAGACCTTATTGAGAAAAGGTGGTAAATGAGTACGTGGGGCGTACAAGTGTGTACGCTCAGCGTACTCATATGCGTGTTTTTGACGCGGAAGCCACCTAGTACGTTGGGCGTACTAGGCCCAAAGTGTAAACCCTAATTTGGGGTGTGTCCCTATATAAAGGATATGATGGCCTCATTCCTGGCCACCATTCTCAGACAAACAACCCTCTCTGTAACACCCAAAAACTTCAAGACAAATTTGAACTTTTCAAAACATTTAAAAACCCATAGTTATTACAGACTTGTTTTCAAAATAGTCTATACCAGAGTTTTTCCCAGAAACATAAATAAAACATGAGGAGCTGTACGATCATGCCTTCGCCTTGCCGCGATCCCCCGATGTACCTGAAACAATAAACTAAAACTGTAAGCCCGAAAGCTTAGTGAAATTCCCCCAAAATACCGATACACTACACATAACACATATACCAATAACCGCATATCCTGGGTCCACAACTTTACAGACTGGGCTACCCCCTGGGCCCACAGTGTGAGTCTGGATTGCCTTACGGGCCCACAACTCACATCTGAATTGCCACCGAGCCCACAATACGAGTCTCCCTCAACTCGTATCTGGAATGATCCCGGGTTTGTTGGTTACCGCACGGAGCAGTATCACCTCAACCCGTCCCACATAACATATCAACATATAACATAACTACTGAGCATGTAACTAATCATATAACAACCCAGATAGTCCTACAGATCTACCTTACTGGCATAACCACTAGCATGAAACACTAACTCATACTCAACATCTAACACTGCTAGGATAACATATCCAATGGGCCGGCCTTGGTGCCTTAGAACCCTTAGTATAGTGGGGTAACTCACCTCGCAAGTAGCTCGGAAGATAGTGTCAAACTCCTCCAAATGTAACTCCAACTCCAACACCTATATTCACCAATGTCCTTTTCTATAATATCCAATTTACCAAAAATACCCTCAGAAGTCAACTGGTCAACCCTTGGTCAAAGTAAAAGTCAAAGTCAACTGCTAAGGTCATTAGTCCATGTTGACCTCAACTCGTCGAGTACCCTCAGCTACTCGCCGAGTTCCTTACATAACTTGCTAACTCGCTGAGTCACTCGACTAACACGCCGAGCCCAAGGCAATCTTCATCGGACTCGTCGAATCACTCTACTGACTCGTCGGGTCTACGATAATCTTCATCGTACGCGCCGAGTCGACTATGCCACTCGCCGATTCCCTTCGGTCCTTCATCCATACAGATGCTTTTCAAGCCATGCTAAGGCTCCATATTGCAGATCCAACTTCCCAAGGCATGCTTATCACGTAAAGTTGCAAACGTTACGTGCATGCAAGGCTCTAATAACTCAAATCAAGCTAGATAAGAGGTTCTAGGCAAAAGGGCTTCACCAACATACTAAATACTGAGACTTTATGATGATAAGAGCCAAGATGAGCCTAGATCTGAAGTTGCAACTTCAGATCTTGGTTCATCACTCGAAATGTAACACCAAATGCCCAAAATGGTCCCAAAACTCAAATATAAAAGGGATCTAGCTAGAAGAAGCTCAAGGTGATGACTTGATACCTTCAAATGATGATAAACCGAGGTAGACTTCAGATCCCCAACTTTTCCTTGCTCAAAGCTTCTTGATCTTCAAGCCTTTCCTCACCAAGATCCACCTTTCAAGCTTAAACACACAAGTATGGAGAGAAAATGGAGATTTAGGGTTTCTGGACTCACAAGGGTTGCAAGGGGAGTCTAAGAGGCAAAGGATCCTTTAAATAGGGTGCAAAACCCCGGAAATTAGGGTTTCACCCTCCAGCTCCAACTCGTCGAGTCACTCTTCCGACTCGGCGAGTTGGTCACTTAAACACGTGGCCCCAAACCCGCTGCTACTCGACGAGTCAGGGCATCCAACTCGTCGAGTAGACCTTGAAACTTGAAAATTAAAGCCATAATATTATTACCTGAGAATCGGGGCGTTACAATTCTCCCCCACTTGAACTATACTTCGTCCTCGAAGTCCGCTGCGAAGAACAACTCCGGATAGTGCTCCCGCATCTCAGCCTCCAGCTCCCAAGTCCACTCAAAACCCTTCTGATGCTCCCACTGTACCTTCACCAAAGGTATCTCCTTATTCAGTAGAATCTTCACCTTCCTCTCTAGTATGGCCACGGGCCTCTCAACATAGTTCAGGCGCTCATCGACCTGAATGTCATCCAAGGATACCACCGTCTCCTGGTCCATAACACACTTTCGCAACTGTGAAACGTGGAAAGTGCTGTGAATCCGACTAAGCTCCTCCGGAAGCTCTAGCCTGTATGCCACCTTGCCAATCCTGGCAACAATCCTGAACGGCTCAATATATCGGGGACCCAATTTTCCCCTCTTCCTGAAGCGGATCACACCCTTCCAAGGCGAGACCTTCAGGAGTACAATATCGCCGACCTGAAACTCTAACTCGGATCGGCGCCGGTCGGCGTAACTCTTCTGCCGACTTTGTGCGGTCTGCAGCCGCTGCCTAATTTGCTGAATCTTCTCGGATTGAAGAAGTTGCAAAATTGGAAAAATCACATTTTCTCAGGTCGTTACACGGGCCGTATAACGATACCTTTGCATTACATGATCGTGTTTTAGAAAATTTTAGAAATATATAGTTGTTACACAGCCGTGTAACGATGAGTTGGCATTACACGTGCCGTGTAACATGGTCTGGCAGTTCAATTTGAATGTGTAACTTCCGATTAAAAAAGGGCTTTTAGGCATTTTTGAAGGTACTTCGACCAAGACTTCTCGAGGGGTGATTTTTGGGAGATCATATCATCGTTTAACACTTTGGAAACACTTTGATTTTGATTTTGTAAGTTTATTTGAAGATCAAAACTTGTCAGATTTATGTTCTTAATTAGTCATGTGTGAGTAATTTTCCTTATCATTTCCGGTTCTAGATTCTTATGTGGTTGTTTTTTAGATTGTGATTTTCAATTGATTTCATGTTTCTATCTAGTAATCTTTGGTTTGGTCTTCATAAAATGTTTGATTTGTACTCAATTTCACTTGATCAACGGAATTAGGATTATTATTCTAGTTAATCAAAATGTAAATTCCGTATATGTTTTATGATTTGATGTTGGTAACAAGCACTTAATTGGTTTCAAGTAGATCAAAACTAGTGCAATCAAATATTAGATGTTCTTACACTCTTAAACATATGAAGAGTGTTGAACATTGTTGGTAATTGTTAAATGCACTCAGAGTCTTCTAATGATTTAATTCAAGAGCTTGTTTGTGTTGAATCAACTAGATAAAGTTTTACTTAAAGATCACATTTTGAGTAAAATACTTTTGTTAACTTTGATATTAGAGCTTATTAATATCTTGATTACCAACCTAGAGTGAACATGAATTGAAGTCATACTACATCTTACAATGTGGTGCACAAAAAGGAATCAGAATCACAAATGTCTTTTAAATGTTGAATTCTAGTTTTTAACTTGTTTTGTTCTTAAGTTATTTATTATTGAAATTAAATTTTACAACCCCCCCCCACCCCACATTTTATCAAATGATTATGTGTATTTGTGAATACATGGCTAAATATTAAGTCATGTATCTATGTAGACCGACCCTGCTTACTCTATACTAACTTTAATATTTAGTGGCAGTGACTTGTGTTAAATTATTATTACTTTTGTCTTTTTATTTGTTGGTTTGACACCCAAAAAAATTGTTTTTTTAACCAAGTGAATAACATATTATAGAATTCAACAAAAATCAAGTACTCTAAAGTAAACAACACAAAACAAAGCAAAAACAAACATATATACAAGCGACTAACAAAATAAAACCAAAAATGAAACTAGAAAACTAAATGAACTTCTACGCCATACCATGCCTTACCGATTCACACAATGATGTACTCACGGATATTTTAAAATGCCCTATATTTGATTATCACCTGTTGTGACTCAAATTATTTAAGAGGAGTTGCTTATCATAAAATACCTCAATGCACTGCCTCTAAGTGAATTAGTAAATATATGTGTTCTCAATAGTTCTAAAGTTTCACCAATCAGTGACACCACATGTAAACGGGGTATAAGTAGACAAAACTTTGAAATTTACCGTGTATTGTGATAAAAAGTTAAAGGCATCCTAGAGACGAGAAGAAAGAGGAGAGAAAAATGCATGAAAATGACCCTAGAAACCTAAATAAAAAGGAAAAGAAATTGTGCTTTTATGTTTTTTAATTTTTTTTAAAGGCATTTTTATTTTTTTATTTTTTTATGTAATGTAATGATATATATATATATATATATATATATATATATATATATATATATATATATATTAATGCAGTGAATGATGGAATGCAATGGAATTCACCCCTCCCCAAGCTTAAAAATGTGCATCGTCCTCGATGCTGGGGAAGAGAGCGAGACTGACTACTGATAAGGATTGTGAGGCAGAATGGGGGTGGATATTGCGGATGATATTGTTGTGAAAATTGTGGATTGTGTGGTAGAGGTTAATTTGGATATTGAGGGTAATAAGGTGCTCGTGTAGGCTGACCACCCAAACAAAGCACCCGATGCTTGTTAGTAATAAGGGTATCCACATGTTGATTGCGTGCTTGTTGACTGTATCTAAAGGTATAGAAATCGTCTCTCAACTCCACCATCTCAGTATTTATCTCAAAAGCACTGTCATAAAGTTCAGAATCGTTACGATGCAAATGCCTATTGTCGTCATGCAACCTTTGAAACTCTTGCATGTACATGTCATGATAGGGATGCATGACAGGATCCTGCTGTACTAGCGCAACAACATCAGGAATAGGAGCATCAGAAATGGGCTCATCCTCATCCTCATCAGAATCAGAATCAAACTGAGACTCAGACTCAATATCCTGCGTAGGTCTCGGCATCGGAACACCTAGATTAGATAAAAGGCGCCAATGAGTGTCGTGGACGAGATTTGTAACGACAAGAAATTTCAAACCAAAATTTTCATTTTTAATACTCATAAAACATATTTCTCATCATTAATTCTCAACATCAATCAACAAGTTTTCAAAACAATTATTCAAATCCAGGATCCACAAATAGCTCCATAACAAGAGTGTGTATACAATTACACCGGTGCCTTCCCGTGATCCTCTGAAGTACCTGAAACACATAACACGGTGAGCACGAATGCTTAGTGAGTTCCCCAAAATACAACATACGACAAGTTAGCCACTCGAGGCTATACTATGTAAGACCCTCCGGTCTATGTGACTCAGCGGGACCCTCCAGTCTCGTAGCTCGTTGGACCCTCTGGTCCGGTCTAGCTCGTTGGACCCTCTCGTCCGGTCTGATTGAGAACCCTCTGGCCTCATAGTTCGTTGGACCCTCCGATCCGGTCTATTCAACAAATAATATAGCACACGATACATATCCCACAAACATGCATAACTCAAGCAAGCACATAAGACCCTCTGGTCACACATAGTTTCCACTATAGGTAAAGTATAGTGAGAAGACTCACCTCGGGTAAACTCGGATGATCTCGAACTCGAAACACTGATCTAGCCTCCACCTAATCACATACAGAAATTACCTCTAATTAAATATGGCTCTCAAAGGCTAGACTATTCCCTTCCTATGCTCTCTCGGATGGGTAAAAGACCATTCTACCCTTCCTGACCTCTTTCACTCATCTTGACCAAACCCTAAAGTCAACAAAAGTCAACTCCAACTTTTACCAGACTCGTCGAGTGCACTCGAGAGAATCGTCGAGTCCAGTCGATCCATGGCAACCCCTGCAAGCTCCAACTCGACGAGCTAACCCCTAACTCGTCGGGTCACCACCTGACTCAGTTCATTGGGACAAAACCCTGGCTACTCGCCGAGTCAGCAGCTCAACTCGGCGAGTCTATTCAGACTCTTTTGCATTCAGACCATTTTGGTGCAAGATACTTTCCCAAACTTCAGATCTATGCTCACAAGGCTCATTAATCACGTAAAGGTTCGACCTTTATATCCATGCATCACACATCTAGCTCTATTTGATAAAATGACCCCTATAATGGCGTCTTAAGCTCAATACTCTTATGTGGATGCATAAAGTTGGGTTCTTGGGACTCCCTGGACCTCTCAAGGTCCAGATCTGATGTCTAAGCCTCAAGGAGACTTCACATATTCCATAACTCAACTTAAAAGAGGGTGAAGAAACCCTAAATTCATGAGATCTACTATTCATACGAAAACAGGTATGGATTCATACCTTAAACAATAGCCTTGAATGAAATAGCAGAAGATCTGAGCCCCTAAAGTCAGCTTAGCTTGAACCCTTTCCTTCTTCCTTGCAAGAATGCACCAAGATGATGGAAATTAGCTCCCTCTTTCTCTCTATGCTCTCTAGATCGATTAGGGTCTCTCAAGGGAAAGTGTGGCCGCAAATGAAGGCCATAAGGGCCTTTAAATAAGTCACAACCCCGGACAATTAGGGTTTTCCTCAGCAGCGCTGACTCGGCGAGTCAGATACCCGACTCGTCGAGTCCATTCATTAAATACGTCACCAAGTCACGACCCTACTCGACGAGATGAGGCACCAACTCGTCGAGTCCCTCCGAAATTTTTAAATTAAATATTAAGAATAATATACCTGGAAAACCGGATGTTACAGGATTGGATAACACAAGAAGCTGGGCATTGTGATTGTCAACACGAAGGTAATCACGACTATCAACAGCCCAGTAAACGTTGTTGGATGTCGCGCGAAGCATGTGCATGCTTTAGAAAACATTAGTTGTTAAACGAGTTTCACCGTTCATAACCTCGAGACCGGACGGAAAGCGGATGACTAGATCTGGGTGTTTGAGAATGATAGTGATCATACCTCTACAATGTAGTTTCCCGCTAGTGCTTTGGAATAACTTTATCAACTTGAATATTACCAATAATCCAAAATCTAGAAGTCGTCGGGTTGTGGATCATACACCACATGAACTGTAATTCCTTTTGAACAACCTTGCTTTTCTCATTTATGGAAAGATAACAGAGGCAAGGATGCGGTGGGTGACTTTAAGAACAAGGTGGATGATGTTGGATGCTTTTACAACACTTGGAACATACTTCAATCCTGAAATTATCTCCCAAAAATCTTTAGAATCCTCTTGGAATGGAAAATTATATATGTGAAAGGGACTATAAATGTTAGCAATTGAAGTAACAATGAGTTCACATAACTGATTCTTATGCAACTGATAATTACGACTAAAAGCACGAATAAGATGTATTCAATTCTGTGATTGAAAGAAACTGATGACAAAAATTCAAGAGTGGGTTGGACATAACTAACATCATGCAGTGACAACAACCCTTCCCATCTAATATTTCTAAACAAAGAACGTACTTGATGCATCATACTTTCCAAAAGGCTTTACTACCCCCAATGCATCATAAAAATTGGTGCTTTGTGGATATGCATGTCTAATGCATGTCTCTTCCATTCCAAGTCAAAAACATGGAGAAAATGAACTCAAACTTGTGCATGAGACCAAATACACCATATAAATCCAGACTTGGAACATATAACTCCAAAGGGACCCCAAAGATCCATAAAGTTGCCAACTTTATGGAACCCACCCATTCAAACTCTCACAATCACGGAGAAAAGGGACAAGAAGCCTAGATCTAAAAGCACTAAACATAAAGCTTGGAACTTGAGGACTTACAAAAGTCTAGAATACGAGCAAGGATGAGGCGAGGAGGTTAGCTTGCTAGATATATGCACGAAGAGCTCATTCTTCTTCTTCTTCAAAACACTAAAACACCACAAAAAGCTCTCAAATGACAAAATGGAGGCTAGGGTTTATGTTGAGGGTGAATGGGAGGTGATGAAGGCTGAGGGTGTGCAAGCCCTAACACTCACTTCCCTTAAATAGGGACAGAAACCCCAAAATTAGGGTTTTTACATGCAGGGGGGCTGTCACGCTGTGACATCCAATGAGATGCACATTTTACTTGGCTCCGCCACGTCGTGACACACACATGCACACGTCTTGGCCAACAAAATTCATCCTTTAAGACTTAAATTGACAAACTCAAAAGTGATGCTTACCCGGAACTTGATGTTACACAATTAAAACACCATTTATGACACAAGATGAATAGATTTCTATACGAATCATTAAAGGATGATATAAAACCAAAACTAGACATGAGGATATGTTCAAATGTGGGAACTCAAACTTATAACATAATTCCATAATCAACAAAGTTGAAACCCCTAAATTAAAGTAAGGTTTTATTATAAACGTCATAATCTCACCATTTGACAATGATTGTCAAATGGATCTTAGATTAGAATATAAATACATAATATAAGCATAAGATCAAACTCATATCATTGTTTGAAACCATAAATCTTGATATAGAACAGTTAGGGTTTGAAAATACCCAATTCATTACATGAGAGCTAAACTTGAATCAAACCCTAGAAATCTCACTATTAGTCATGAATTAACAAATGAGTCATTGATTTGAAAGAACATAGACAATCCAATAACAAATTCAAGCTCATATAATTGCTTGGTGCATAATTTCAGATTTGAGGGTTTAGGGTTTGAAAACCCACGAATCAACATTCAAATTCACAAATCTTACAACCATTTGTTGGTTGGAGCCTGGAGATGGATTAAGGAATGAAACCACAACATTAAACTTATATAAAAACCATAAATGGAACAAGAATTTCAGATTTGCAGTTCAATAAAACCCTAATTCGATTTTGGGGGGAAAACGGGAAGAAATATACATTTAGATGCAAGATCTTGAAAGAGATTGACCAAGGCTTCATTCATGAGTTCCAACCATCAAAACACTATGGATTATGAGAAGAAAATCGATCATAGAGGTGGAAGGGAAGCTGAAATCGAGTGTAGAAGAAAGGGGGATGAATTAGTGAGAAAAAGAGTAACAAATGGCGTTAAAAGGAATCAGGTATGCGACGGAGGCGCGACGTGTCGTAAAGGGGTGCGACGTCCCACAAGTTTGTCAAACTTGACAGTTTTGTTCCCTCATTCCAAATCCCTTTCAATACTGGTCTCCAATCTGGCTAAAAGCTTAATAAAATTATCTTTAGTCTATAGTTGGCCCTTCTACACCATAACTTAAGCAAACCTAGTCCGGGATGCTTATTTGGTCAAATTCTCGGGTCAACACAAGTTTCTCTAAGTTGACACTATTGGCTCCCTTTTTACAAAAGTCTTATTTAATGCCAAATTTTCTATCATATATTTATTTAAATTAACGACAAAGTTATTATTGTTACCGTTCTAAAATATTCATTTCATTTATTTCATTTCAATTTATTTTATTTTCATTTAAGAAAAGTTTTAGTTTTACTAAAAAGTCCAAAACTTTTAACACTAAAAACATGATGTTACATGAGGCAACCATAAGGGTTACTGCCTTTAAGTATGGTTAAAAGGCCGAAAATTAGGGGTTTCTCCATTCAGCTCAATCGTGCTGTGATTTTCATTAATTGTTGCGTGGTGACCAGTCCCACTGCTCATCCCGCGAACCTGCCCAAATCATAAATCTCTTCCTAATAAAAACCTCTCTAAGGTGCCACATGACATGCTTTCTCCACCTTAATTTGCCACGTGGCATTATTCTATGCATTGGGTTTTCATTTTCCCGCTCATTCAAAAAGCCATTTTTCTTTGACAAAATCCAATACAATCCGTTTTAATTTGAAACTTTCCTATGTTGTAGCCGAAAAATCAGCCACTTAATTAGTCAGGATAGTCTCTCAACTCCTCTTTCTTATTAAAACCCTAATACAATCAATAAAAATTATAAAAGACGTTGATTCTTCCTCTTCCAACTTACTTGTAAGTTTTCTATCTCTCAACTCCTCTCTGTTACTAATCCCCAAATACAATCGATAACAGTTCTTAAAGACGTTGCTTCTTCCTCTTTTTCTTCCTCTTCCTGCTTCTTCATCTTCTGCTCCAAATTTTCTAGGTATTAGGGTTTTCTACGGTTGTTTGTTTGATTTATTTATTATGTTATTCAAAAGAACAATAAAATCGCTACCTTATGTTCAAATCATCTTTAATTGTATATGATTAGGTTAATTTGATTATAAAGATATGAGTTTCATATACTTTTTTTTGAAGTTTCGGAGCCAAACCCACCGAGGTTAAAATATTGTTTTTATTTGCATTTTTTGACAAATGATAGTTGATTATTAGTTTCTTACTTATATTTGAACATGAGGGATGTAATTGTCAACTGCATTTTAGCCTTTTCTTTGTTTTTTATATCCGAAGTTTCGACTAATGAGATTTGGTTTAATAGGCTAATTTTGGATGTTCATATGGATGTCTGTATGAAGGCCTCCATATATTTATGGCGAAAAATGGTAAAAATGTAACAGAGTAACACATTGAATATTGTATATTTCAAAATAGTTACTCTACCTAAGTCCTTTAATTATGAAATTTTTATGTTGTTTTGGGTGCTAAGTACAATATTTTACATGGAGCTTCACCAAATTACCTTGGATGATCGAACTTCTTTCATTGAAAAGATTTTATGTTGTGAAGGTTGCATCTTTTACCACTTTCATGTGACATTCTTGGAAATATCGGTGCTTATGACTTATATCAATATACATATAACAACTGACGGGTTTAACTTCAAGGTCATGGTAGGTAAAGTTTTCAATTAATTAAAAATATTGATGCATTAATGTATCTTAAAAAGTATATTTTTAATATGTGGATGTTCAACCGTAATATAGCTATTTTGAACGGCCTGAATGTTTGATCTTAGACTTGGTTCATAAATATACTGAAAATATGTTACTTTAAAATCGTTCAAGCTTGAAAAGTTTAATGCATACCCATGTTGTCCCTTTTAATGATCGAGATATTTCACATTCTTTCAACTGTTAATCCTACTCTTTTAGTTTACTTTTTATATTTTGTTTTAAATGCAAGAAATAGAAACAAAGTAGCATCCTACTTCCACTTCTTTTTATTATTGTATTTTCAATATTTTTTTCTGCAAAATCGACCAACTTATAAGTATACTTAATAACTTTTTTTTTTTTCTTATTAAGACATTAGACTTGAAAATATATATAATGTGTTATCATTGACATTGTCAATTATACCTACAATATTCACATGGTAGGGTTGAACAGTGAAGTGGGGCAGAGCTTGTGGGGGTGTTCTATAGTTTGTAGTATAGAAGAGATGATTAATCAAGAAAACTTAGACCTTGGACACATATAGCCACAACCAAAAGAGAAACATGCTTTATTGCTATGGTATTCTAAAAAATGTAGCGTGTTTCTTTTTCTTATTTTTTAATCAGATTAAAATGCTAAAGTGTTTTGTTTTTTTATCGATTTGTAGTAATGGAAATCAAACCATGGGTTTGACTAAAAACCAAGAGTGATTATTTTAATAGAATTGGAAATACCATGTTCATTGTTTGTCTATTTTAACAAAAATTAAATTAGGATGCTAAAATTATCAAATGAGCGAAAGTATAATGTTATTTCTTAGATTAGATGCTTGGTGGTAAAATGTTCATAGTAATGAAAGTACAATGGAAATTTGGAATAGTCAAATGCAAGAAAGCATGATGTCTTTTCCTAGGTTTGTTAGGGTCAAATGCAATTTTGAAGGTATTGTGATATTTCATTGGTTTGTTTTTAGGATATTTGATGAAATGTGATTCAGATATATAGGATACTTGATGACAAGTTATGGTTTAAGGTTGGTGGAAGACTTCTACACATCTAATTTGCAAGTGGACCTGGATTTAGTTTTGAGTTAAGTGTGGAAATGGTTAATTTTACCCTTTTATATCACATCCTATACAATAATTAATATGTTATTTTGAAGATGATGCTAATAAAGATGTGGTGATAATTTCATTCAAGCGTATATGTAACATTTAGGTATTCTGTTATTTTACTTAATTTTATAAATTAAGTAATTTTATTTATTAGTTCGTTGATATTGGTTTTTTTTTTACTTGCATTTCTTCTTTACCTTTTAAGATTACCTTACTTATCATTTCATGGATTCGTAACCACCAACGAATACATAATTTTCAACAAACATTTGAATTCGGGGTTACATCTCTTTAAATACAATTTAATCAAGTTCCATTTCTCATTTTTGGATCATCATATCCAAATGTGCACATCTTTATTATTTCGTTTATTATTATGAGCATTTGAAACCAATTGTAAGTTTTGTCAGGTTTTATTTTGTGTTAATGAACTTTTGTTCAATGGTTGAAGATTAATGATATTACTGTGCCTTAGTTTAGTGATGTTTTTTCATTTATTTATATCATCTGTATGTTCCGTAGGTCTCCTAAAGTGATTGTGTGTAAGTGATATTATTTTTATTTTGGTAGTTCTATTTAATATATATTTAGTTTGATATAAATTTTATATTGTTAGTGTTAACTCTTTATATACCCTTAAATCTACATAAAAATGAATGCTTTGGTTTACAAAGGTGAAAATTTCAAAAAAATTTAACACTTTGGTTTATAAAAGTGAAAAAGACATCTGAAAATTCAAATATATAGATAATAAAAATTAATCATATCAAACATTATTTGCAGTGAAAATGATGATTATAAATATGGTTGAATGTGAAAAAACCAACAAAACATTTTAATTTTCTATTGTTCTTTTATTGTTTTTACATTTCTCTCATTTGATTTGATTCATGTGTACATACTTCTCGGAAACTTATGTTGAAACATATGTTAATAAGAAAACTATTTTTCAAAATCAAGTATATTTATTTGCATACATTATAAATATATTTTAAAAGTAATGATATTTGACGATATATTACAAGTTATTAATATCCAATGTTCCAATGTTGTATATAAAAAGTGATAGCAATATATGATTAATAACTATGTTGTTTTATTTTGTTAACCGTGTAACACACGGGTTATAACCTAGTTAACTAATATAAAAAATTACACATCGGGAATTATGCGTTATATATATATATATATATATATATATATATATATATATATATATATATATATATATATATATATATATTCAAAGTTGAACATATAATCATGTTGTTCAATTGGTTGGCTGAAGACATGTGGGTTTGATTCATGTTGCTTGACAATGTTTTTAAACCTTTTTTATTATTTTTTATTTTTTTATTTTTTATTTTGGCTTCAAGGAATACTGAATATGGTGAGCTTGGGAGATCATTATTTACTTCAAGTTACACTTTCAACCTTTTATTTATGATTCACTTTTTACAATCTACCCCAAGTACCGAGAGTTTCCAAAAGTTACAAATTTAACCTTTAAACTTTAAATTTGCAATTGCCCCTTTCTTTTTTCAATTAACTGACTTTTTTTTTCCTAATGTCGATTCACCCATTTTAAATTTATTTTGTTTATATAAAAATTATATTGAGGGGTTCATTTTTATTTTTCGTACATGTCTTCAAAATCAACGGACCATCTTTTCTACCAATATATAATACCATCAGTCTAATAAAAAAGAGGAAATGAAGATGAAGATCTTTATAGACCATAAATAGATCCATTTGCCTAGCCACTAAGGTATGTATTCATGTAATGTACTGTTGATAATAATAACAAAAATTATTTGAAAAAAAAGAGACACAATGATGATGTTTTTAATTACCATTTATAACGTTTCATTCAACGACTTAAATCAATTAAAGTAAAATGGCATCACAATAATCGATATGATAACATTTTTTTTACCATATCTATGATCTATGATTTGTGAATAAATGAACAAAATTTTTGTGGTTTAGCGAACCAGAAGTCCAAAATGGATAGAGATCTTGTGGACATTTTTTCCCGTTTGAGACATAAATATGGGCCCTAAAGTTAAGCCTATTATCATAAGCAAGCTCACAATAGTTTTCAGGCCCATGCCAATATTCGCGGACTGCGCACTTTATCAGCAGTCCATCATGATGGATGACCGATGACGAGTCGGTAGGCCACGTGCTGCTTGCACCAGTATCCATACCCATATCGCTCACGTTAGCCAAAGCCACGCACTTCTTCTATTCCCCAAACCTACGCACTCCTAGCGCACAGTAGCGTAATCCCCTTCTTTAAACCAAATTCATATCTGTTTCTTTCCGTATGTGAATCCCCCTCTTCCACAGAACCCACACAAAGCCCCTCTCTCCCCCTTTGGAATTTTAGGGTTTCATTTTTTTTGACACACAGTGATAATCAAAACAGGATTTTTCGTGTTCTTGATCACTTATCGTCTCTGATAATCACAATTTACCTTCAAAAGTTGGGTTCTTGTTTACAAATTAAGTGTTGAACCCTTATTTTGGCTGCCGATTGATCGTTCAATGCCTGTATACAGTTTCGTTATTCGGTTGTTAGAAAACCCTAGGGAGTTCGAAGCCGCTTACTTAGCGGCGGGCGATTCTGCAGCCGTTACAGTGGAAGATTAGTCGATTAGTTTATTGTTCTTGATTTCGTAACATCGTATGGTTTTTATTTGATTTATTGGGAAAGTAGGTTTCTTTTCTCGTGTTTGTATGGCGCCGAGTCGGAGAAAAGGTGCCAGTAAAGCCGCCGCAGCCGCCGCTGCTTGTCGGCAGTGGAAGGTCGGCGATCTTGTTCTTGCCAAGGTGAAAGGGTTCCCTGCTTGGCCTGCCACGGTAGGTTTGTCGATTTCTTTTATTTTAGGAATCTTGTAGAGTTGAGGTCTATTGTTCTAATATTAACTTAGGGTTTGTTAGACTGATCTGAGTTGTTGAAAGATTCACACCAAGTTTGAGCCTTTATTGATATGCTTTCATATATTTGCTATGTTGACCATTCTTTGTTTTGTTCCCGTTTGTAACTGGTTTTCTTTTGTACTTCTTTCATTCAAACCACGTGTTTTGATTGTATCTGAGAACCTAATAGCATTAGTTTGCAACAAAGCAAAATCACTTTTGCATGCTTGGTACATCAACAATCAAGATCAGCTATTTTGTAACCGAATATATAGCAGTGCTTTGTAGAAAGAATATCTGTAAATTTGAATTCTGGTTTCTTGTAATTTGCTCACTGTATGCTTTTATGGACGGAAAGCATAGGCAGTATGGAGCATGTGCTTACTATAAATCTATATGGTGGTTGCAGGTTAGTGAGCCGGAGAAGTGGGGGTATTCTACTGATTGGAAGAAAGTTCTAGTCTTCTTCTTCGGAACCCAACAAATGTGAGTACCTTTTGCTGTTTTAGATCTAGTGTTGATGTTTATCTTAGATATGATTTGTCTCTTACAAATATGCCACAAAGTCATCATTTAGGTGCTATAGGGGGTGGGTGGGTGAGATCATCTAATACATTTTTAGTAGCTCAGACTGGTTTTCACACAACATGTGTCACAACTCACAAATAATGTGAAATGACATGTTGATGATGCTTGATTGTCTCAAGAATAGACCACAAAATAAATACCCACCATAAATGCTTTTTTAGGTTTGGTCTACATAGTCCATTTATTAGAGGGTTGAGCAGATCGTCAACTCATTATTGAGCTCTTTTGTGTTTTTTCCATTTTGTCATAGATTTTGGGATTCGTTGTTTTATGATGCTACAATTTGCCTTTGTTCTCTGATTTCTTTTTTTAGGCAAAAGATGCTATTTGTAGGACATAGGCTGACTAATTTTAGTGCGTTGTTGTACTAGCTAATATTGATGTTTGAATTCATTGAAGCTTGAAATGTTTTTTTGTTTGCTTGTTATATACACTATGTTTTCACCATGGTGACTTTTTAAAATTGGGATCTTTTGACTTCACTCTTAGTGTGCCATTGAGATGTTTGCACTAAACATGGTAATACTAATTTGATAGTATTTAGCATATCCAATAACCATGATCATATTAACAGTATGAAAGCTGTAGTACATACTAGGCAGTAATTAGTTTTACATTCTCAACCAAAATAATCAACCCAGTTTCAGCCATTACTCATACTTTCTTTGACTTTTGAAGGAACCACAAGGAAATACAAATTTATAGGATCTTAACCTGTATATGTGGTATGTAATTTCCATTCTGGTATATTTGAAATCCAAGAAAAGATCCGACTTTGTGGGGACTAGATCTTCCATAGGATGTATTGGCAATTGCTATTCATATTGGTCAACTATAATACGTTTACGGCTATAGACACAGATACGTATATCCTCGTCTTCTTGATGCACACATGTCTAGGAGTACATCTAGAAAATTCGTGAAGGGGCGTTGAAACTTGTGTTATCAATGATTTTACACTAAAATCTATAAAACACTTATACCAACTATAATAATTGGGACCACATCTGCAGATCTGCTAACTCTTCCTTGACTTTATCCTGCACATATTCATCTCCCTCAATATTATTTTAACTTCAATGTCCATAAAAACTATCTTAACTTCAATTAGAAAGCCTATGAGTTGCCATTGGAGATTGGGAACCATCTATTCAACTAAGGTATACCATATTGATTCTTGAGGCTAGACACATCGTCTTTCATCAGTAGCATGTGCCCTTAAAAGTTGTCTTGAGTGACCCTGTGTGAGATAGAGAGCATCACTATAAGTTTTGGATAACCATGTTGGGATATTTTTGATGTGAGGTTGTAGGCTTTGATGTGTACAGAAACATGAGTATTAGTTGAACCTTGTACAACTCCATTCATGGCTTTTGATATTGACTTAATAGACTTTGTGGGAGATGACTTGATGCAATAAGTTGTAGACTTAGCCGGGAAGGCCATGGATGGTTGAATTAAGTCCCAACTTTTTCATGCTTTCCCTTTCCAAACATTAGATTCATATAAGCTCTGCTAAGGCTACCCAATGTGTTGATGAAGTTAAAGATGTCTAAAATGTAACTTTTATTTGAACATGATAAGCACCTTTTTTTATCTCAGTTTTTTTTAGTTGTATTGTAGTTTTTTAGGTCTCGATATTTATTAGTTACATGATAATTGTTTAGTTGTGGATCTGTTTATCTGCATTTTATTGGTTATATGGTTGGAAATTTGAATAAGTTCCACTTCACTTTAATCTGATTAAATATCATTGAATTTATATCATTATGATATTTTAAAAATCTTTTTTAGTAAAATAGATGATAAGTTGGTGCTTTTTTATCATTTAGAATTATAAATTAGACATATTATTGCTTATTCTTTCTGGAGCTGGAGCCAAAGCTACTCCTAGCCCGACTACTATCTGATAGTGAATTAATGGTCATTTATCTTCATTCAGCTCTATAGATGATATAATGGTCATTCATTGTCATTCAACATACAGTACAAACAACGATTTTCATTTACTAATTACTTTAGACCACGCTTAATAAGAAGAAAGACAATCAGGCCATTCACAACCTAACATCTCTGAGTGCTGATATCTTTTCATGTCTAGTATGCTATCACCTAATCTTTATATTGCTGTAGTTGTTTTATCGAACCAAGGAATTTCATTAGATAATGATAAGGGTGCAATATGACAATTGACATGATGCACTTTTCATCTCATGACAAGTAGCAACACCTGGAGCTGCTTTTTTCTTTGGGGGTACTTTATTGTGCTCAACTGAAATAATAGATTCTCAATTGTCAACACCAAATTTGTTATAGGAGCCTTGATGTTCGTTTATCTTTGTGATCACTCAATTACATGAACTATGAAAGTCCTTCAAGTTCAACTTTAGTGGTCAAAAGTATTTGCTGGTGTATATTCATCATAAGAAGGCACACCAACATGATGAATATTTTTGCATCTATTCATGATGGATGTTTAATGTGTGAATCTGTCTAATGTAATTGGTTCATTTTAGATCATTTTCTTCGTATAATGACTTACCAGTTTTACGAGGAGATGAGGTGGTGTATTTTGACACCTGCTGATCATACTTTATCCGGCTCAATGACTTAGTTCTTTTTTAATATGTGAATTTCATTAAATAATTCACTGTGGGGACTTGATGTACTGATTAGTCTAATTAGGTTGTACCGAATTTTTTTTTTTGGATCAACTGTGTTTCTTTTCTTAAGCCTATCTTTGTTGTAACAACTGTTTATTTGAGCTAATCTTTTGTAGTATGTACAAGTACAACTTTCAGCCAGAACTAGTCTTACAATTATCATTATTTAACATCAAATCTGGGGGTACCTGCACTGCTTAAATTACTATTTGCCAAGTGCATTTATGTTGATAGATAAGCACACATTTATGTGAATGATTGGCAGGCGTATCTATGTTATCATACAATGGTTGCTCTTGAGTTTAAAATATGTCAAAACACACTCATTCTATAATTTGTTACAGTCATAGGCTTTGTTGCACACTTCTTGATTATGGCGACAATGTTTGTTGTCTGTGAGTTAACAAGGAAAGAGTTTAAGATTTATGAAAATGAACAAAGAGATAACCGTATATAACAAATCTAATTGGTCCAAGTATACCTCTCTATGCAGAGCATTCTGCAATCCAGCTGATGTTGAAGCTTTTACTGAAGAGAAGAAAGACTCTCTTTTAAGCAAACGTCATGGTAAAGGTGCTGATTTTGTTCGTGCTGTAAGAGAGATAATCGATAGCTATGAGGAGCTCAAAAAACAGGTCCAAGTTGATGATGTTAATACAATCGGTCCAACAAATGGTGTCAAATCAGAAGAATGTGTTGCTAATTCTAAGAATGAGGCTCTCACACCTACCATTGATTCAAACCCAAGAGTAGCAGATTCTTCAAAACCTAATGGCACTACGTGTGAGGGTGATGCTGCTAATGTTCATCACACAGAGGTCAAAGTGTCCGAGACTACTGGTAATTCGGAGGCCACAAAAGCACCTGTGCCCACCACATACTCAAGAAAGAAATATTCTGGTACTCAGACCTCAGGGATCCATGGAAGGGTGCCATCTGCACGGAGATCTGCAAGAACAGATGCTTGCAGATTTCCAAACCTCACAGAAGACGTGGTGATGAGTAATGGTAATTTATCCAGCATACCACAAAGGAGGACGAAAAGGGTGAAGACATCACCTGGTTCACCAGATAAAGATTTACCTGTTGTTTCAAATGCAAGCCCTGAAGAAAACGGTTCTGAAATTGTCACTGCTGATTCTGATACCAAGAGTTTTAACGAGGGAAACTGTGTACAGTCTGGTTATAAGCTTATGGAACAGGATCATGTCATGGAAGACGTGCAGTTGAGTCAGACACTTGAATTTCAGACTAATTCTGTCATTGTCAAGAAGAAAAGAAAGCCCAGTAGAAAACGGGCCATCACCGTTACAACCGAGTTCCCTGATAGAATCGACAAGCAATCGGGCTCTGCCATTGAGGTTCTTAACATTGATTCTGAAAAATCTGTTGTGAAGTATTCTAAGGAAGATGGTGATGAACATTTGCCATTGGTGAAAAGGGCCAGGGTCCGTATGGGTCGGACATTATCTAATACAGAAGAGGTTGAAACTGCAATCAAAATAGATAAACTTTCAGAACCTGCAAATAACTGTGCGGTTTCAAGTGATGCAGAAGATATGTCTGCAGAGGGGAACTCTTCGGGTGGTAGGGAAGAAGTAGAGCAATCTTTTGCATTGAATAATTGTAGTGTTAGCAATAGCAATAGCAAGCCTCCACTATGGGAAGCTAACAAGAATAAGCATTTTGGTTGTCTGGCTGATGGTGAGGCTGCTTTACCTCCTTCTAAGCGACTTCATCGTGCTCTTGAAGCTATGTCTGCTAATGTTGCTGAAGATGAGCAAGTTTCTAATGGAGGACCTTCTACCATGAAAACCATTATTAATGGATCTCTTTCACCAAGAGACTGCTCGAAAGAAACAGATGAGTGTGAAGTAGAAAAGGAGAAACCTCTCAGCAATGGTGATTCTCAGGCTTGTACCATTTTAGCTCCAGAAGTTGAACAGAATAAGTCGATTGATGAGGTCAACAACACCTGTAGTCAACCTTCTAGCCCAGCAAATGGGATTTTGAAAGACGAAAAGCCAGTGGAAATTGCTGATTGTAAAGATTCTGTCATTTTGACTTGTTGTACTGAAACTGTTGAATCAACTGATGTCGTCGTGAAAAGCCCAGAACCTTTGTTGGATGCTATTGAGAAGAGAGAATCTGTTTCTGAATGCAATGATACCCCTGTTGAGTCTAAAAATGAATGTGAGATGGTAACTTTGGAGTTGACTGAACCTAGCAAGAAAGACCCATCAGATGTTTCTGGGGTGAGTTCAGATCCTCTATCAAGCAATCTTGAAAACGGGGTGGTTTCACATGTTAATTTGGTGCTGCCTGCATCTCCCCAGAAAAGCTGCAATGTGGTAGAACAAGAACATCCATTTGAAGAAGATGACAATGCAATGTAAGTAGTGTTTGTTGGTTTTTTTCTGTTGTGATGGATATAGTTTTTTATTAACTGGATAGTTGGAATGATGTTTTGTTTTAGACTGGAAGATGGGGAAGGAGTTAAAGAATCAAACATGGAAGTAGATGAATCTCCATCTTTGACCACCGAGAAAGAAGCGTTGAAGACAGTTGACCAGACGGGTCCCACACTCGAACTCTCTCATTCAAACTCTGTTAATGAAGATGGCTTGAGCGATAAAAACGTGTCAGGTACCCTGACATCTTCTCCTCCTCCTCATCCGAATGATGATGCGTTTGACTCAACTGCACGAGCCTCTCCACCCAATACTACTACTACTTCAATTTGCAACAACATATCCACTTCAGATAATAGTAATTTCCTTGAAAACAGTGGCTGTTCTAGTCCCTCAGCTGTGCATTTATACAATGATAAACAACAAAAGCAAACTGGCAAATGGAGCACTATGTCAGAAGCAAATGCTGCTCTCAATTCCTTTGAAGCCAGTATTGGGGCACTAACACGGACAAAGAAAAGCATTGACCGAGCCACACGCATTGCTATCGACTGTGCAAAATTCGGCATAGCTGTCAAGGTAATTATATTAGTCAGTCATTTAGCTATCTCTTTTTAACTTTTTTACTGTGTATTATTTATTTATATAATATATAATATATAATATATGGAATGTAGGTGGTGGAGACTATTGCACGCAGTTTGGAAGCTGAACCAAGCTTACACAAAAGAGTGGACTTGTTCTTCCTTGTGGACTCTATTGCACAATGTTCTCGAGGGCTTAGAGGTGTGTTTTTTAATCACACTCGTTAGTTAATATAAGATTTATTGTGTGTTTTTTAATCAATGATGCAAATTGATTGTGTTTCAGGTGATGTGGGTGGTTTGTATCCTTCTGCGATCCAAGCAGTGTTACCACGGTTGCTGTTGGCTGCTGCTCCTCCAGGGAATAGTGCTCTTGAAAACCGTAGGCAATGCTTAAAGGTATGTATGTCTTGTCTTTTATATGTTTGCCCTAAACCGTGTATGCAAGAGTTATTAGAATTAAAATATGTTTATTATTTGGTAGGTTCTGAAGCTGTGGCAAGAAAGAAAGATTCTTCCAGAACCGATGATTCGTCACCATATTCGTGAGCTTGATTCCCTCAACAACATGTCTTCTAGGATCAGTAATTCTTCTCGCAGGCCCTTTAGGAATGAAAGAGCGTTTGATGACCCAATTAGGGAAGTTGAGGGTATGCTTGTAGATGAGTACGGAAGGTGTGATTTTGTTTTAAATAATTTCTATTCTTTTTTTTTTTTGGTAAAGTAAGAATCTGAAATATTTCCTTTTGGTTAGTAATTCGAGCATACAGCTATCAGGTTTTGATATCCCAACGATGCTGAAGGATGAAAAAGAAGGAAGCGATTCAGATGGGGAGGGTTTTGAGGCTGTTACTCCTGAACATAACCATGAAACATCTGAAGAGCATGATGGGGTGCCTACACCTGCCACAGATAAGCATACCCATGTGTTGGAGGATGTTGATGGCGAGCTTGAAATGGAGGATGTGGCCCCTTCTCGTGAATCTGACATAACTGCCCTTACTGCTAATAATATCACCTTTCAGGAACCATCCCATCCACATCATCAACTTGCACCACATTTGCCCTTGTTTGCCCCTCCACTCCCCAGAGACTTGCCTCCATCATCTCCACCACTGCCAAGTTCTCCTCCTCCACCCCCTCCAGCCTCCCTTCCGCCACCTCCACCACCCGCCCTTCCTCTGCCGCCGCCGCCGCCTCCTCCTCCTCTAGCCACTTTACCTCCGCCTCCCCCTCCTCCAGCCACCCTTCCTCCTCCTCCTCCCCCTCCTCCTCCATTGCCGGACGTTTATGTAGCTAATCAGGTGAGTGAGAAACTTGTTTTTTATTTTACAAATTGCTTTGTACTTTAGTTAGGTATTTGACACATGCAATGCAGAATGGCAACGATGATCCACAGCCAGTTCATTATCATCCTCCTGAAGGCAGAATGGATATGCAACCACCAGAGTCGTCTAATTCTTCTTTCAGCAATTTACCTGTCCAAGCCACCAATAATAATGTGCATCTGAGGCCACCTCACCCTGCTCCGTCATCACAGTTTTCATATTTCCAATCAGATCAGGCGATTCCACCTCCTTCCTACCCTGGCAGGTTTCATTTTGTCAATGGTACAGATACTGCCAACTTTCATAGCGATCATGACAGAATGCAGCATGTGCATGATGACAGCTGGAGGTTTCCACCCCCTCCATTCTCTGGTAAAGCTCATCAAGATTTATATAGATAATACTTCAGTTATTCTTTTTCACATGTCATGTTCATCCATCCAGTTCCAGTCTCATTAACAGCTAATCATCTTTGTTAATAATATCTCTATAACAAACAGGTCCATGTCATCCTGATGGGCCTAGAGGAGTACATTATCCCCCAAATATGTATGCAGCTCCACCTTGCGATCCACCAATGTCCAACACCTGGCATTATCCCGTCCGACCTGCAAATCATAGAGAAATGCCACCTCATAGACCATACCCTGAAGCACCAGTTCCCATGGCAACTAGAGGTTCTTACCCTTTGTTTAATTTTCTAGTTTTAAACAAATGTTAAACTTGTCTTCTTTTATTGCAGGCCCTAACTTTTGGAGACCTCGATGACCCTTGTCAATTAGAACTCCTTTTAACCTACAAGAGACCAAATTTTCATTTGAATGACAGTTGTACAACAATCATCAAGCAAGACCCTATTGCTGATTAAACAATGCACAGAACATTTCCATTCTAAAAGATGAAGATGCATAATGCAAGAGTGTACATGAAAATATTTCAATATTGAGGATGGCTCCAAAGCTACTGACATTTCTCTATGTCTGCAACATCCTGTCATCTTTGGATTTTTTGCTGTTTTGTTCTTTGAGGGCTATCAAGATGTTGTGGTTCCATGTTTAAGCCAAATGTTGGTGATGTTTTTTTAGTCGTTGGTTGTTGGTTATTTGAAATCAGGCTAAAGTTAGAACTTGGTCTTGGGTGTACATTATGGAGATGTCTTGGGTTCAAATTTGAAATATAATTGTTGCTTCTTTTCACCTTGATGTTGGTTTGTTTCTCATCTCAGGTGCTATGTGATCAAGCTGAAACTTGGAGGGATCAAGTAGTGCCCTAATATTTCTTTGTGCTTTGTTTTATGTTCAGGGGGCATTTATTTAAATGGTCGACCTGTAAGGAAGCTCAAAGCCTCGTATATTTCTACCATTTTATCACTTAAACAAAAAAATTGTCAAAGTATGCTTGCTTTTAGTCAATATACATGGGAATAAGTTTCATGTACATATTTGCATTGGGAAACAAAGGTTTACATCACATCTGTTACGGATTTGCACCATGGTATCTAAACAGGGACTTCACAATTCATCCACATCTGGGTGTTACAACTTACAAATCCTTTAGGTTGGACCTAGTAACCACACATACTTGTCTTTTATATCAAGAGAGAATAACTAATACGCCACCATTCAAGAAACAGTAAAAAAAAAGTCTTATCATCATAATAGCCACCAATTTCGTGGATGTCATCTTGCACAGTGAAATTTATTGTGTCGATATTCTATAAATTTCATGGATGTCATCTGCAATATATATATATATATATATATATATATATATATATATTAAATTTATTTGTGGTAGAAATCTATAGACCATTTTCATTATAATATTAAGTTTTCTTTTGTTGAAGAAATGGTCTTTCCTATGGTTTCGTAGTTGGCATTTGCGTTTTTTTTTCTCACAACGACAATTGTTTTGAAGGTGGTCTTTACTGTGCCAATTTCGCAATGACATCTATGCATTTGGTGGCTATTTTGTTTATTAGGCTAATTTTTTACTATTGTTTTTTTACGAGTTCACACAAGTAGGTTATTGACATGACAAGACTTGAAATTGAGAAATGATAGGTGAATTATAGCAAAAACTAACAAAACTATTTGCTTGCAACCCACAATTCTACTAGCATTGTAATATAATGTCAACAAATATGTTGGGAGACCATGTGGACGTGGATGTGGATGTGGATTTAAATGTGTGAGATCCTGCTTACTAAATAGTAAATTAGTTTGGCGTAATAAGCTTTTTTTAGTGTTTGGATCGTAAAAAAATAAAACTGCTTATTCCAGTATGGTACCGGTAATAAGCATTTTTTCATAAGTTGTTTTATTTTAACTTATTGAAATATGCTTATTACGGGTTAAACTCAAATTATATTTTTACCCCGAATTTAAAAAAAAAAATCAATATGAGGAGTGCAACGAGCCGAGCCGAACCCGAGCCTGGTCAGGCTCGGCTCGGGCTCGTTTAAGTTATACAAGGCTCGAGCTCAGCTCGATTCGAACTTCTTGTACTGTGCTCGGCTCGAGCTCGTAAGTAATTATACAAGATCGACTCGGGCTCGGGCTCAACTCGTTTTTTGTCCTGACGTGCCTAAATAAGCTTAAGCTCGGCTCGATCTCGGTAAGAAGCTCGTTTACTAATATCCTAAATCCCTAATCCTCAAATATGTTTTTATTTTAATATATAAAAATAATAATAAATTATTTTATATAAAGGCTCGTTTAGGCTCGCGAGCCTAATCGAGCTTAGTGACATAGGCTCGAGCTCGAGCTCGTTTAATAAACAAGCTTAATATTAAGCTCGAGCTCGGGCTCGTTTAAAATCGGTTTCGAGTCGAGCTTTTAACGATCCGATCCCGAATAGCTCACGAGTAGCTTGACTCGTTTGCACCCCTAATCAATAATATATAAATGTCCTTTTCGGTAATTTTATACGTATAAACAGAAATTATCAAACACTAAAAAACAACTTATCAAACTTATCGGCTTATTGCGTTTTGATATTAGATAAGCTAATCCGAACAATTTTTTATAAACTCCGTTTCAACACCGGATAAGCTAATAAACACTTTTGAAAATAAGCATAAGTTGCTTTAAATAAGCAATCCCAAACACCCCTTAATTATCAAGTTTCTACACAAAAAATAATGTCTTTGTAAAATTCATAATTCATAAATAAATTGAAAATTTTGAACAAATATACATGGTGCATGATGTTGGTATTTACCATGGGCTATATGCAGAAAAACACAACTAATTATACATGATATGCAGAAAAACCCTTATATTATATTTATGTTCAGAAAAAGCCTTATATATTAATAGATAACATTCGAAAAAGACCAAAATATGGGGTTTTAAGAGAATTTGACGACTACAAATATGATGATTACATTTTTGTTTTTTAATATGATATTTGATGTTAATTATGATAAAAAACAATTTGTTAAGGAGGGAAAATCAATCGTATAATTTCATATATGGAGAACACAATAGAGCAAAAGTAATCGAAATAACTATAGGTTTTGACATGTTTTCACATACAATCAAGGAAATATAAGGGGCATGTATGTCATATCATATTTTTAGCCGGTCATTTCTCTTAAAAGTTTACAATTTGGTTTTATTTGAAACGTAAATAATAATATAATGGTTTTTCTGAACATAAAAATAATATAAGGGTTTTTATGTATATACATATATAATTGGTTGTGCTTTTGTGCATATATCCCAACCAAATAAGCAATAACCAACACCCTCTAAGACTGCCTACCTAAGGCGAACCTGGTCTTCAAACTCTTTCACATTTCCTCTGGGGTTGCCTTCAAATCTTCCAAGCTTAAAATGCTTGATGTCTTCGTCAAGTTGTTCTGCTGCCGCCTTCCCGCCGATGGCCAGATCCGTCAGTATCCTCCCAACTAATGGAGCCATCTTGAATCCATGGCCGGAGAAACCACCGGCAACCACCACATCCTCATTGAACCCTCCTCCTAAAAAATCAATAATGTAATCCTCATCTGGTGTCATGGAATACAAGCAAGATTGAGTAATCACTGGCCCATCTTCCCAATCAACTCCATCACCAAACCTTAATTTGATCCATTCTTTAAGATGTCCGATAACTATTGTTGCCCCTTCTGACCCTGTAGCAGCCCACCATGTCCTCTTATCGGGATCACATTCCCGCCCACCATGAACAGCAACTTTGATCAGATCAGGGAACTCCAAAGCCGGTGTTCCATAGATATATGGCTCGCCATAGCTTGCAAATGATGGAAATCCTGCTTCTATGGTGTAATCAAGTTCATGACCCTCTTTGATCTTCCAGTAAAACACAGTTGTTTCCACTGGCTGTATCGGCAAAATCATGCCACCATTACTTACCTTTTGAATCAACTTACTCACCCAAGCTCCCGCTGTGACCACGCATTTCCTCCCCCAAAACTGTTCTCCCGATCTGCTACTCACCAGAACGCCACCGCTATGCTTATCACTCACCAAATCGACAATCTCCGTCTTGTCTTTAAGCACTGCACCATGTTTGATTGCGAGTGTTTGAAACATTGCAACTGCTTTAGTAGGTTTCAGGACACCTCCGAGCTCCGTCACAACCGCAATCCAATCTTCCGGAAACTCAATCTTACGGGTGAAATGTTCCTTCACTCGATGACGATCGAGAATTTGGTGACTAAGCGTGTGTTTTTTGCAATTGGCAATGAGAGCGCGGAGAGAACTATTGTCCACCGGACCTAAATCCAGTTGTTGTGTTTTGAAGTAAACTTTATACCCGATTTCTAATTCTGCTTCTCTCCACAATTTCTCCGATTCAACAACCATTGGAGAATAGTAAGATTCAGGGTAAGTTGCTCGGATTGTTCGAGATTCGCCGTGAGATGATCCACGGTAATGTAGGAAGTCGAATTGCTCGATGAGTAGAGTTTTTTGACCACGTTTAGCTGCTTGATATGCCGCCGAACTCCCCATCACCCCCGCTCCGATCACAATCACATCAAATCGTCCCAAATTCTCCATTTTTTACTAGATTTTGACGTTCACCAAAAATACCTACAAGAAGAATTACAAACTTCGTTTTCAGTAATTTCTCTATCTATTTAAACTATCAGGCGAGAAAGTCATAAGTCATCTAAACTTCCATTTTTTTATTCTTTTATTTTTATTAGAATAATAAAATTTTTGCCAACTCAAAAACTTTATCAATTTATTTATTGGGAATGCAGAAAATAGGAGAGTATTTAGTAAAAAAAACGGAGACCAGTCCATATGAAAGCCAAGAGTATGCTGCAATTTGCCATATCTCACTAGCCCTGAGTTCCCCGATGCCCTATTGGCTTACTACTTGTCACCACCCAAAGGATACCATCAACTCTCATCAAAACCCTTTTTTTCTTCTTCTGAAACCGCCGTTCCTAAATCATACCTGCTTTCCTTTTTCTGCCATCTCGCACTCACACTCACACTCACACTCACAATCTCTTCTCTATTCTTTCTTTTCTTTTCTCTCTCTAGCTGCTCGTACTATACATGTGGTTTTAAAATTTTTGCGTACATGTTTAAAAGTTTGCATCTTGCCTGATTTGTGTACAAGTTCTGGGTTTGGTGTTTCAAGTTGTTGGGTTTATTTTTGGGTGATCAGTAATTCGACAGTCATATTCATTATGAAGAATTGAAGATAAAAATCAGTAATTTGAAGCAAGTAATTGAGTATAGCAAGTAAAATCGGAAATTCGCTATGAAGAATTGAAGATAAAAATCAGTTAAACTTAATCAGGGGCTGGTGGAATGGAGATGATGGTCCGATGGAGAATAGAGAAGAGAGAAATAGAGAAAACACTGAACATACCTGATCAGCACGGAGGTGAGAGGTGGAGCTGTCAGCGGTGATTGCAGATTACCGATTGGGAGGTGCCGAGGTGGACAGGTGCTCCAGCGAACAGCGAAGGATGAAGCGACTGAGCGAGGGTTAGAGGGTCGATGACTTTGGTTCAGAGTTACCTTATACAACTCCATTCGGTGCTTTTTATTTTTGGGCCTAATTTGTGTAAAATTTATTGGGCTATGACTACTTGTATGAAAAAAATCCTCCTGGCCCTAAAGATGCTGTAGTTGAACCTTATACAACTCCATTCAGTGCTTTGTGATATTGACTTAATGGACTTTATGGGAAACGACTTGATGCATTAAGTTGTAGACTTAGCCGGGAAGGCCATGGATGGTGATGCATTCTGAATTAAGCCCTGCTTTCCCTTTTCAAACATTAGATTCAAATAAGCTCTGCTCTTCTTTAAGGCCGTCCTCTTTGTTGATGATGTTATAAATGTCTAAAATATAACTTTTATTTAACCATGATAAACACCTTCTTTTAGATCTCAGTTGCTCTTAGCTATATTCTAATTTTAAAGGTCTCATTATTTTTTGGTTGCATGGTAATTGCTTCGTTTTGGATTTGTTCATCTGCATTTTATTAGTTATATGGTTGGAATTTTGAATAACTTCCACTTCACTTTAGTCTGATTAAATAACATTATGATATTTTAAATCTTTTTATATTAAATAGTTGATAAGTTGATGATTTTTTGTCATATAGTATATATAAGGCATTTTATTAGTTATATGGTTGGAAATTTGAATAACTTCCACTTCACTTTAGTTTGATTACATATCATTATGATATTAATTTTTTTTATATTAAAATAGTTGATTAGTTGGTGATTTTTATAATTTAGAATTATGAGCTGGTCATATTTTATTCTTTGTGGAGCTGGAGCCAAAGCTACCACTAGTTACTCTAGACAACACTTCATAAGGAAAAAGACAATCAGACCCTCTCATAACCTAACATCTCTGAGTGCTAATATCTTTTCATGTCAAGTATGCCATCACCTAATCTTTATATTGATGTAGTTGTTTTATCAAACCAAAGAATTTCATTAGATGATGATAAGGGTGCAATATATACATGACAATTGACATGCATGATGTCATTTTCAACCCAATATCTCATGACAAGTAGTAGCTTTTTCCTTTGGGGGTACTTCATGTGGCACAACTGAAATAATAAATTCTCAATTGTCAACACCAAATTTGATAAATTGATAAAGGAGTCTCAATGTTCTTTTATCCATATGATTACTCCTTTAAGTTCAACTTTAGTGGTCAAAAGTAATTGTTGGTGCAAATTCTTCATAAGAAGGCACACTGACATGATGTATACTTTTGGTCTAACGTACTAACTTTAAGTTCAACGTACGTTAGACCAATTCACCGCGTACTCACCCTCGAAGCACAAGGTACAAACTGTTAAAGCATGTCACCCTCATTACGCTGAGCGCACACCTGTATGCCCAACGTACTCTTCAGAAGGCCAAAACCCCAATAGAGCTCTTAATGGTTAAGACAAAGGCTTCCAAACTCAGATATGACCTCTAGAAGATGTCTTAACACGTAAAGTTGGCAATTTTACTCCTTTGCATGGCTTAATGGGACCAAAACCTTAATACAATCCATAATAAACACTCAACCTCATGCATGCACCAAAATAACTCATCAAGATGACATTTTTATGAATAAGGGACCTCCCAAATGCCAAGATCCAGCATACTAAGCTGTTGGAGTAGCCCATACTCACAATGATGACTCTAAGGACCAAAATGAACCCAAAATACTCCTTAAACTAGATCTAACACCTAGAGTCATCAAGTTAGAAACTTTATACCTCCAGAAGATAGATCAAGATATACAAAGGCTGGATCCAAAAACTACAAGCAATCCATACTTCTCCAAGAAGCTCCTTCTTCTTCAAAGATCACCAAAATGCATGAAATACCACCAAAAACTTAAAAACCACACCAATGGAGGCTAGGGTTTCGATTCTAGGGTTTAAAGAGATGGAGGCTGAAGATAATAGGGTTTGGTGTTGAGTTAAGGAGCTTAAATAGGGTCCAAGACCCTAAATTAGGGTTTGAGTCTGACTGGAGTACGCCATGCGTAACTCTGGTACGCCTAGCGTACTCCAGGGAGCAACTGCGATACCCTTGCCTAGTACGCCCAGTGTACTTCCCAAGTACGTCCCACGTACTAGGCTGGCCCTTAATCCTTCAAACTTCCGAATGACATATCTTCTTCGTTCTAAGTCCGATTGCGACGATCCTTATATCCACGGAAAGGTAACGAGAAGCTCTACACTTATATCAACTCATCCTTGCATTAAAACTTCCTGAACTAAAATCCAATATTCATAAAAGCCCGAACTGCCATTTTACGGTTATACCCTTGGGCTCCAAATCACAAACCGGACACCTGGATCATCTTACTTACATTACACATACCCAAATGGGTCTAAATCTCCCTTTTCCAAAGGCCCTAAGCCTCATGATAACCGATATTCGGGTCACAGCCCCGAATTAGGAAACGATTCGGAACAGGGTGTTACAACTCCCCCACTTAAATTAGATTTCGTCCTTGAAATCACTCCTTACCACCCTCCTGGAAACCAACGCTCCGAACAAAACCTTCTGGTGTTGAAGAACTCACTAATCCCATAACTGTCGATCCAATACGTTACTTTTATAATTCTGAAGCCCCATAACTTGTCTGACCTCCACATAGGTAGAACCATTTCGAAACACAATCACAAGGGCCTCCTTCTACCATCAGAACTGAAAACATCATTTTGACCTTGAACCTTCCAACTGATAACCCGAAATACAGATTCCTTAATCCATAACTTGTTGAAGTGAAGATCTTGCATATACACACTAACGAATCCCAACGTGAGTCTCGACCAAAAGCCAATTAGGCACATAACTCATAACGTGAGATCCAAGGACTTGTACTTGCATTTCACTCGAAATCTTCTGATTCATGGCTATCTTTCACTAAAATGGGATATAAAAATCCCCAATCCACCACTGAGACTGTCAGTCTCACACCTGGTCCAGCCACCAGGTTCCTGAAAGTCCAACTGGTAAGGCTACCCTAGCCTAAGCATTACTCTTATGCCACTCACTGACCACATAGTCATCCCATTCTAACCATGATCCAATACCTTGACCCAATCGGTCCCTATCGGGTGTCACCCGCACTGTCATAACCATATGGTCCTCGCCCATGGGTCTCACCCAGTATATACCAACGAACGGGCCACGCCCACGAGTCTCACCCAATCGAGAGCTACTCAGGCCTAACCTTGCCTCTGACCCCAATGGTCTTCCTCCTATAACAGAGAGATACCCTCCGAAAATACTGTTCGCCTTGCCCTAGGCACGAGCTGATCCTCCTTTATACCAACGACCACCCCACGATGGTCTAACTCAATCTGGAAAATATTACGATCCCATCGCAGACTTACAACATTTCCACAACTGTCTATTATCCTGGTGAATGTTGCGGCTACCTTGTAGTCTTACAACACTTCCATTGGTAACATGGTCCCACCCATGGTCTTACCGTTCATATACTATACCGACCACATTCATCATGAGTCGATCCCGCATCCGACTATACCTAAATCAGGTTTTCGGGTCATGCTTCGAACCCCAAAGCCTTCATCAAACAAGAACAGGAAGAGAGGCTCTAACACAACCCTCAACCTGGATCCATCCACATGCATGCTATACATCTCAAATAAGGCGCCAACCATCTGTTGAAATTTTCCTGAACTCCCAACTTACACAACTTCAATCCAGACAGCCAGTTGAGTCGTCCTCCCTCCCGACTTGGATGTGAAACTCTCCCTAGTTCCACACCTGATTCAACTCCCAGAAATCTGAACGATTCTCCCTACTTGGATTCGTCGAAGATCTCCCAACCCATAAAGTTTGATGGATTCCCAACCCATCTTACATCCTTATAATTCAAACCGTCGACGACCTAAGCTTACCAATACTAGCGTTCCATTACTAGCCAATATCAATGATCGCGTAACCACCCAAAATCCAGATGAACACTTTCCGAAATCTCAGCAACTCCAATAACCCCAATCGTTCCCCCATCGCCAAATCCATAAGTCCTTG